TGAAAGGATGGTACCTACTCCCTGGCATGCCTGCTCGATCTCGTCTACGCCAGACCAGTATGCGGTATACATGCCATGGGTAGTGACATCCTTCCCCTTCCTTTTCGTCTCATTCACACATAACACATTTATTCCTCTATCATACATCATATCGCATACTTCATCCATTTTATACAGACGGGCCTCTGCAATCCACTTTTCGTCACGTGTAGGGTGGGCCTAGGAATAGGTGGTCAAAGCCTACGGACGCGAGCGACTTATCCCCCAAGAATACCACATTCATCATCATCTTACAGAATACCAGCGTAAAATAGCAATTTAATGCTTCTATGTTTCGTGTGGTGAGTGTAGAGAACCGAAGACCCTTATTACTGGCAATGAGACATTCCACATATTCCTCAAGTGTGACAACGCATCTGAATTTTGATTTTTAATTAAAGGTTAGCAGGTGTTTATATCCTACACATCCACATACCATCAGTTGGACAGCATGTTCGTTCGTCACCCTTATTCCAAATAAGAGGAAGAGGTTATAAAAAAAAAAAAAAAAAAAAAAAACCAAATATATTAAAATAACTTTTTCATTAAATTTCATCTAAACCTTCGAGTTACGTTGACGCACTTGAATTTATAGCGGTACAACATGAAACGGCGTATTTGGTTTCGATTGATGCGCAGTATTCACTGGTGAAGTTGTTGCGTGACGTCAGTTGGTCTATAAATAAAGTTTGTTAAGAATGATTTACGATAAATCGATCGTACTGACTGCCAAAGGCTACTTCAAATATTGTAAATATTAAGGTACTAGCGTTTCCCCGCTAGTTTTTTTTACTTAGAACGCTTGCAGTTCTATTATATTGGTCTTTTGGCAAGTAGTTTATTGAAATAATACTAGCTTTTACGGATTTTTATCGCTTATATTTAATTTTTAGTAGTGTTCGCATAAATGTAAGAAATCATTAAGTAGTTTATTACGAAAAAACCACTTTACGAATAACCACGATATGGGAAAGTGGTTAAAATAAATGTTAAACATCTAGTATTTCCATGTAAAAAAGGCCCACGTCACGTTTTATATACCATAGTTTTGGTGTAAAGTGGTGTTGCATCAAAACTTTAACTATTGACGTAGCTTGGAGTATATGTACTCGTATCGATGCAGTGTATAGTATGATTACGTATTGATGTGGCTCAAAATGGTGAGAGACACGAAAATTATCTGCGATCATAAGCTATCTATCAAGCTTAAAGGTCAGACATACAGAAGAAATATGCATAACTTAATAACCTTTTTCTTGTATGGTCAACTCCACGTTATGGAAATGAAAATGCCACGCAACATTTTTTTATTCAAAATTGGCTATAAAAATAGTTATTAAAAGTCACTTTTTTGTTTAGTTACCCATGGTTTTGAAAAATACCTTTGTCCTGGGAAGAACCAGTAAGAATCCCTGCAGATCTTTTATAAAAAAAAGCATGTTACACAATGAACCAACACACGGTGGTACGGGCATGTTCTACGTAAGCCGATAGAATACGTTGGAACGAGATGCCTTGATTTTTTTTTGCAGGAATAAGACCATGCAGCAGTCCCAAAAAGCGCTGGCGCAATGTTTTCAGACTGGGCAAAGTAGAGATGGATAAACAGAAAAGAGGACTTTGGCAGTTATCGGGATAAGGTATTTTTAACTCTAGTTTTACGTTCTGGTTTTTAACTACGGAGGTTAGTTATAGGGAAAAGGAAGAGAAGGATTGTCGGTAACAGTACCAGAAGTCTCCCATTTTTGACGCTGTTCTGTCACTGATCTGGATATTATAACCGGGTTTTCGGAGGGCAGAGAGGAGGAGTCTTTCTGGTCATTTCCATAATTGGTTCTTTCGAGAGAGATTGAGTCTAGAGGTATTTCATGCTGTGCATTTTATTACATTGTTTCGTTTGAATACATTTTAGTAATATTGCTTTCCCTGGACCTGCATAGCTTCCCGCACATAATGAAAATATACCAAGTGGCAGATATGTGGTCTATGGTGCTAAATCCTTTTCAGAAACCGGCTTGTTCGGGAGACTTGAAGTCGTCGAGTCCGCGTGCTAGACGATTCGTAATGACTCTTGAAAACAGCATTTAGATGCTCACAATTAGACCACATCTCAGAAGGAAAATTGGTCTGTAGTTCTTAAAGAGAGCATTGTCAACTTTTTGAAGAACAAGACCATCGCAATTTTGCTCCACGCCTCCATAGTAGAAACACCATGGAGGACGGAATTGAAGAGCATCTGAAAAACGTAAATTATCGGTTTCCAACCTGTTTTACAAGCTTCGCTGTAACTCATGCATTCATTGCATTCCAGTCTCTAATTTCTCTCATCCGGAGAGCTATTATAATCTCTCTTGGACTGACTTTCGGGATATCGTACCGGATAATACTTGCTCTTGGTTCATTACTCACACTTGCCTGTAGCTCCAACGATGACGTGTATAGCTGCATAGATCATTTTAATTTCACTCAAAATCTCAGGTGTCCTGAAAACGATGCTGCCACATTACGTATTCAGCTTTGACAGTTCGCTCTTTCCTGCAGACCCCTGGAAAAGGCTTTGGAGCCCTGGTTCACTTAATCGCTTCTTCAATACGAGCTGTTATGAAATTGCGTAATTCCCCCCGCATGTATTTGGTGATTTGTCTGTTCAATGGCCCGTATGCTTTCAAATCTGCTGAATACTGCAGCTTCATTTCCCATCATACGACCATGATATTAAGATTATGATCGGAGAGTTTTTGTGTTCTTCTGCGACATTGGATCTTACAGAACTTAATACTTGGTAGAACCAGGCTGCAACTATGTTATCGTTGTTGCGCAAATGGTTTGGCTTGACCGGGGTAGGATCACGCTCTACCAGAATACTAGCGTAAAATAGCAGCTTAATGCTGCTGCGTTTCGAATGGTGAATGCAGAGAACCGGAGATCCCTTTTACTGGAAACGAGGCATTCCATCTTAGTTCTCACGGGTGACAACGCATCTGCATTTTGATTCGTAATCGAGGATAGATGTAGATGTGTATGGGCCGCAGCAATCACTTACCATCAGGTGGACTGTGTGCTTGTTTGTTACCATATCTTATAAAAAAACAAGCTTAAGGTAAAAACTTAAATATCATTAAACAGTAACAAGAAAAGATTTCACCTATATCTCTACGTTTAGGAACGAATTTATTCCCTTCAAATTAAAAAAGGACCAATGTTAATATTTAATATATTTAATCAAAAATAACTAACGCTAAACTGTGTACAAGAGAAAACAGTGAGCTAAAAGTGGAGAAATTCCGAATGGGGCAACGAAACCCTTCCTAAACGTAGAGATATAGGTGAAATCTTTTCTTGTTACTGTTTAATGATATTTAAGTTTTTACCTTAAGCTTGTTTTTTTATAAGATATGGTAACAAACAAGCACACAGTCCACCTGATGGTAAGTATTGCTGCGGCCCATACACATCTACATCTATCCTCGATTACAAATCAAAATGCAGATGCGTTGTCACCCGTGAGGACTAAGATGGAACCTCGTTAAAGGTCGATTACAAATCAAAATGCAGATGCGTTGTCACCCGTGAGGACTAAGATGAAATGCCTCGTTTCCAGTAAAAAGGGTCTCCGGTTCTCTACACTCACGATATGAGACACAGCAGCATTAAGCTACTATTTTTCGCTTGTATTCTGTGAGAGCGTGGTCCTTCCCCGGTCGAGCCGACCCATTCGTGCTACAACTAAACTACTAATACAACTGCAGCATGGCTCTACCACGTATAACGTGAAACAATTTCTACATGATAGCTTCCAAATTCGGACGCTTTCATTCTTCGACACATTATATACATGGGTGGTCTGAAAAGTTTCAGACCTAACAAACGTACAAGAAATTTTCTTAAAATTTATTTCGTAAGAGGTGACAGAGAGTCTTCCTTATAAAGTAAAGTAAAAGTAAAGTTACAGCCTATATACGTACTACTGCTGGGCACAGGCCTCCCCTCATTTTTGAGATTAGGATTTAGGCCGAGGAAGTGTCCGCCGCGCTGCCCCAATGCGTGTTGACGAGCTTTACGTGTCTTCGAAATTTTTTTCTTATTCTTCAGACATGCAGGTTTCCTCACGATTTTTTCCTTCATCGCCGAGCACATGGTTAATAAGCACTTAAAATTGCGATTAACAATTTCATTGGTGCCGGCGGGGATCGAACCCGGGTTACTCGCGTTCTGTTATATTTACAGCGAGCGTTAACCATCTGAGCTACCACGGCTCTTCTTTTCCTTATAATATCTTCCTTATAATGTCTTCCTTATAATATCTAACAAATAAAAAATTGCGGTTACCGAACCACCTGCCAAGTGTGGCAACCTGGATACTATGGTGAAATCCTCCATATCAGGTAATATTTGGAGACTTATGCTCAGCGGTGGACTTTTAATGTATGGAATACTTATTAAGTGAACATTTTTGACGCAATATTTAAAGAATGTATTAATGGACCAATTCATGTTACATTCTTTTTTTTATTTAATGACATTTACAGGAAAAAAATATTACATAAGTTCATAACTTCGCCAAATTGTAAAGACAGTTTGTTGGCGATTAAATGCACTCTTATATCCTATTACATAATTAAATTAAATAAGTACTCAACCCACATAATATTACAAACAACTAGAAATTTAAAACATGAGCACTATAAATTCCACACTCTATCAATTCCAAATACAACACCCCACCCACATAACATTGCAACAAAATAAAAATTGTAAATATAACCCGGATATATTTTTTTTAATATTACAAAAAATAATAGTTTTCTAAATGGTCGTACATCTAGCATTTTATCCAAAAAATTATTCCCAAGTTTCTTTTTAATTGTTAATTTGCAATTAGGTCTATCTTGCCTTAGCCAATCTATTTCGTTAAGAAGCTTTGGTATTAAATATTTGTATCATCATCATCATCATCATCATCACAGCCCTTCACAAGTCCACTGCTGAACATAGGCCTCCCCCAAGTAATGCCACAAAGCACGGTCCTGAGCCACCTGCATCCATCGACTTCCTGCATATCTTACCAGGTCGTCACTCCATCTAGTGGGGGGTCGCCCTACACTACGCCTACCGGTACGAGGCTGCCACTCGAGAACCTTTCTTCCCCATCGGTTATCGGTTCTTCGAGCTATATGGCCGGCCCATTGCCACTTCAGCTTACTAATCCGTTGGGCTATGTCGGTCACTCTGGTTTTACTGCGGATATCCTCATTTCTGAGTCTATCACGCAGAGAAACTCCGAGCATAGCCCTCTCCATAGCTCGCTGAGCGACCTTGAGCGTCCTCATACGGCCAGCAGTGAAGGACCACGTCTCTGATCCGTAAGTCATCACTGGCAACACGCACTGGTTGTACACTTTAGTTTTCAGAGATTGAGGTATACCTGACGAGAAGATGTGTCGTAATTTCCCGAACGCTGCCCAGCCGAGTTGAATCCGTCGATTGACCTCTCGGTCGAAGTTGGACTTACCTAGTCGGACTATTTGTCCCAGGTAAACGTACTCGTCAACAACTTCGAGCATAGTGCTCCCAACAACTACCGGCATAGGTGTGACATGGACATTAAACATGATCTTTGTTTTGTTCATGTTCATCTTAAGACCTATCCGTTGGGAGGCACTATTGAGGTCATTGAGCATAGTGCTTAAGTCCTCCAGCGATTCTGGTATTAAATATTTGTATATCTTTTACCATAGTAGTTTTTAACACTAGGCTGAAATAATCTCCCTTCTCTAACTTTCCTGGTTCTATATTTATTATCCAAGTTTTCATTACAATGGTTTTTATTAATGTTTTCCAAAACTAATAGCATGTTAACTTTGTGTTCTACCGGTAAAATTTTACAAATAGAGAATAACTTATCATAATTTTTCTTACAAATTTCTTTAACTTTTTCATTTACAAGATGTTTTCGAAATCTTGTCTGTAGATTTTTAATGTCCTTTAAATAGGAAAAAAAAGTACGACCATACAGACCAAGTCCATAGGTTATGAGGCAATCCACCAAAGCATAATATAGAAGATACATAGTTTTTTTGTTCAAGATATATTTTAAATAATAAAATTTACATAATACAGCCGACAACCTTGCACTTACATCAGATATTTGAGGTTTCCAATTAAAATTTTTATCAATAATCAATCCTAAATACTTAAATCTCTCAACAAATTCAATTCCTTTACATTTACAATTAATTTTATTATTATGCAAGCACTCAAAATCGTGGCCTATAACAGCTATCTTATTCAATTTGTTTTTTTTTTGCTGGAGCATTATATGGAGAGTGTATATGCATGCATTTTGTTTTGTTAAAATTTTGAATTATGCCATTATCATGGGCCCATTTTGTTATATTCTCAAATTTAAATTTTTATATTATTTTGCAATTCTTTTGTTTCTTTAGAGGCAAATAGCAAGCACATGTCATCCGCATACATATACACTTGACAGTTTTTTATTACATTGTATACACTGTTTACATGCATAATATAACCCACAGGACCGTAAACTGAACCGGTCGGTACACCCAAGCTAATACCGGCCTCCCCTCCCACAACGCCATCCACTACAGTGCGAAGCGTTCTATTAGACAGATAGCTACGGAAAAAGTTATTTGTAGGGCCCCTGATTCCACACTCCTCCATCGCTTGCAATAACATATTATGGTCCAAAGTATCAAAGGCTTTTTTTATAATCAATAAACGAAACCATAACCTGTTTTACTTCATTTAAGTATTCGTTAACTGTATCCGAAAATAGTGCAAGTGCGGAAGCTGTACTATGATATATTCTAAATCCGTGTTGTGCCTCTGATAATATATTATGCTGTTCCAAAAAGTCAGTTATTTGTCCTACAAACACCTTGTCAACAATCTTATTGACCGATGATAAAATAGCAATTGGCCGGTAATTACTGTAATCTAAATGACTACCATGTTTAAATATGGAGCGAATGATTGATTTCTTTAACAAATCAGGATAAACACCTTTTTACAGGCACACATTAGCAAATATGCATAGCGAAATGGGCCAGTATTAGACTTATTTTTTTTATTTACTAACTTTAAATCTTTCAATCTAATTCCGTCCAATCCTGGTGCTTTTTTATGGTGCAATTTATCAATAATTTTTTCTATATCACATGATTTCACTCTCTTATACCTAAAAGACACCTCGCCCCCTTTAACATACATGTTTCTATCTAAAAAATTTAAATTACAAATATGCTTGACGTCTAATATTTCTTTGGTGAGTGTTTTAGAAATTTTTGTCCAAATGTTATGTAAGGTATCATATCTACCCAAGTACCTCTTAATTACTAAATCCAAATCTGCCTTAGTTTTTCCCAACCATGTACATTTTTTTTAATTTTTACCTATACTTGCATTGCTTGCATTTTACCATACATTGCAATCTTTTATTTATTTTTGCCTATACTTGTTTTGGGCATCATTTATAATTTTATTTACTCTATTTCTAAATCTCGTGTATTGAGGAGGTAATTCAAGGAGATGCTTTCCACGCTCTAAATAAATAATCCCTTTTTAATATTAAATTAATCAACTTACCTCTATCTACCCATGGTTGCGTTAGACGTTTACTGCTTTCTACAATATTAACCTTACTTTCATTATAAATATTTTCGAACACCAAACGTAACTTATCATACAATAACATTGGGCAAGATAAATTTAAAAGCTGGGTCCAATCATAATCGTCCAACTTTAGCCTACACAACCCGACACAATTTATCACTAATCAATTGTTTACATTTATTTACCGTTTTTACCAAATTCAACTCACTTTGTGATCCTAAGACACCTAATGTAATGCCAACAATATTATGATCAGATACATGACATTCAATTAACTATGCAACAGATGTAGTGTCAGCCGATTTCCGCACGCCGTCCTCGACTACCGCTTCTCGTGTTATCTCTGAACTAGGCACTGCACATTGTAGGCCATGTTCACACAAAGTTAGATTATATTTTGAAATAATTTGATTACACTTGTTATTATAAGTATCGATATTTATGTCTCCTATGACAATAATATCATCTTGAGGCGATATTCTTTCCTTTATTATTTTCAGTATTTAGGCACTCAATAAAACCACATTTATTTTTAGCAGGTGGTCTATATATGCAAAGAATATGAAAACTCCTTTTTTCGATCGTTAAATTTCCATGAATTATTTCTGCCACGTGGGTGTTGATTGTTTGTGAAGAAAAGTTTAGTTGTTCCTTTATAAAAATAAGTAGCCCTCCTCCTCTTGAATTTTTTCTCGTTTTAGCATGGGGTATATAGCCATTTATATTATAAATACCTAGTTCTTCTCTCTTTATATTTATCTCACTTAGTACTATCATATGTATTTTATATTTGATATGCTCTAACAAGACCAGCAATTCATAAAAATGCGTTCTTAAAGAGCGTATATTTAAAAGCAATATATGTATTCCATTTGAACGTCGATATTCATCCCATTGTACCAGGTCCTTATATCTTACAAAATCGATTTCGGTAGGTAATTGTTTTACGTTTCGAATGTTTTTTTTTGTTAATAAAAAGTATTTACTTTTTGTGACGAATCTTCGAATCAAAGCTCAAAATAATATAACAAGAATACGGTAACGAGGGGAGAGCTTAATCCAAAGATTTTCACGTTTCGCTCCATTATTAGAGCTTACGCTAGTGAACGGCTCTGGCATAATGCTTCAGGTGTAATGTATAATTAAAAATTATTGTCATTTGTGTACATATGAAACTAAGCTGAAGCCTATGACCTCAGTTGAGAGTGTTCCTCTGGGTGTGTGGTGTAGCGGCGCGTTAGGCATAAATTTTGAATGGCCGTCACTAAAAAGCGTCTTCGTTTTCTTCATGCTAAAGCCTTCTCCACGATAATTGCCTGGAAAATGTGACCCTAAGCTTATTATTTTTGTTTATGTCTATCTATAATCGTGTAGTGGTGGTGCAAAAATTTACACTACCTCATATTGTCCCGTGGGTGTCGTAAGAGGAGACAAAGGGAAACAAGCCAGAAGGTAGGCAGCAGCTTCTTACTTACAAAAACTCAGAATTAAAAAAAAGTGCGGTTGCTTAACAGCCTGCCAAGCTCGGCAACAATAGCAACCCCCCCCACCCCCTCTATGAGGCAATCTAATAATGAATCGATGAATATCAATCTATACATATAAATAGAATCGAAGTGTCTGTCAGTAATATTCTTATAACTATATAACTTCTTGTAAAGCTCAGGGTTTTATTTACATACCTACTATTAAGACATTAAAAATCATTTTTTTTTGAATTTTATGTGTTTGTCTGTCCGTCTGTCAGTACCTTTGTCTGTCTGTTCGTATGTCTGTCTATCTGGTTTAATCGTGGGAATAGCCTCAGCAATTGTGATGAAACTTTATGAAAAGTAAGAAAGCTATGCCAGAAAGGATTTGAGGTATATTATATTCCCAAAACTTTGAAAAAATCTTTGATTAACTTAGTTCTATATAAATACTTATGGGGGGGGGGTAAATTGCGATCTGGTAAGACGTGCAGGAAGGAATTTGATGGATGCGGGTGGCTCAGGAGGAGAAGCCTATGTTCAGCAGTGGAATTCTGAAGTGCTGAACTTGAATGATGATGATGACGATGATGATGATATAAAATATATCCGTGGTATATAAATTTTATACGTGGTAGAGCCATTCTGCAGTTATATTAGAAGTATAGTCGTAGCACGAATGACTCGGCTCGACCGGGTAAGGACCACGCTCTCACAGAATAACAACGTAAAATAGTAGCTTAACTGCTGTGTTTCGTAGATAACCAGAAACCCACTTTACTGGAAACGAGGCATTCCATCTTAGTCCTCATGGGCGACAACACATCTGTATTTTGATTCGCAATCGAAGATAGATGTAGATGTCTATGGGCCGCAGCAACCACTTACCATCAGGTGGTCCGTGTGCTCGTTTGTCACCCTATCTTATAAAAAAAATATACAATTGCTCATTAATAGATCTTATCCAGGCGAAGCCATGGCGGTTCAAATAAGTCAAATAAGTATATTGTAATTAATATAAAGTGACCGAACCCAACCCTGAATATGATTAATTCCGTACTTGTATCGCTATTAAAAGTATGTATAAAAGTTTATATAAAGTATATATTATGTTATATAAAATGAAAGAATCACCAAACTTTTATTATTATTAGATAAATAATAATGGTTTTAACCCTTTCGCTCGCAAAATGCCTTTTTTTAGAATGTAGGAAATAAACAAGCACACAACCTGATGGTAAGTGGTTCCCGTGGCCCATAGATATTTATATTTATCTTCAATTCAAAATCTAAATGCTGGTGTGCTAAATTCGCTTAGATGACATCCTGGAGTTTCGACGGAATGGCTTGTATCCAGTGAAAAGGGTTTCAAATTCTCTAAACTCACCATGCGAAACAAAGAGGCATTGGGCTGCTATTTTACGTTGGTATTCTGTGAAAGCGTTGTCTTTCCACTATCTAGCCAACGCATTCGTAATACAACCATAATATAGCTGCAGCATGGCTCTAACGCGTAAAAATCATTCTTACAATCGGCCATCCTACACTCTGACCTTAGACTGCAACGTTTGTTA